GCTTTACGGATTGTTACGAGTTATTACGAGCACTTTACGAATAGATACGTATACTTTACGTATTCTTACGTATTGTTTACGATTTGGGAAAGGCTGCAAAATCGAACACGTCATTTTCAGTTGTTATCAAGAATTCAGAGAAGTCACATCTCTGCATATCTACTCTACAATATCTACAAGCATGGCTCCAAAGAAGAAGGCAGTCAACAAGAAGAAGAGGGCACGCTCGCCTAACCCTGAACCACCACTAGCTAGTTCACTGGGCTAGTTGAAGGAGCAATTGTAGAAATTGTTGATATAACTGCAATCTGTTTCTCTCATATGCCATGTTGTCTCTCTGGATGTCAGTTGCTGATAGATTGAGATTTGCAGGATTTTTATATACGTTTTGCCAAAAAATCGTAAGGACTCGTAAATACTCGTAACTTTCTCGTACCTATTCGTAACAACACGTAAACAGGTCGTAACTAACACGTAAAAGCTTCGATGAATCGTAACATTCCGTAATATATCCGTAACAATCCGTAAAATGCCCGTAAGTTGCTCGTTGTTATCCGTGACAACTCTTAACAAATCGTGCAATTTTGCCGTAAATACATCGTAACAACTCGTAATAATCCGTAATAAACCGTAAATAGCTCGTAATAACACGTAAATCGCTCGTAAAAGTGGCCAAATCGTAAGGATCCGTGTACTTTTACGAATTGTGCGATCCGTAAGGACTCGTAAGAAAAATCCGTGTATGTGAAGGGGGTATATAAATATGTAAAGGGCAGAGCACAGTTAAATCGTATAACATGTGGAACTCCTCATGTCAAGAATGTAAAATATATGCACACTGGGTAACTTCGGCCGTCTGCAGAACGAATAACTTTACTCAGCGGATAAATGTTGCTATATATAATGAACTATACAACTATCCGGCCACCACGACGGGGTCGGGTAAAGTAATACAGTCAGATAAAAATGGTTGACCGGATGTCGCTGGATTATCATAGAATCTGAGATCGTGTTTTAATGACGAAATTGTGCGTGTCGCGTTGCCGAAACCGAAGGCATATCCTCCAGTTTGTTCTCTTGCTTTTTCATAGCGCGTTTTAGATAGCCCTCTTAGGACCTGTGCAATATATATATATATATATATGTACATTGCACAGGTATGTTCCCTATGCTGAAGACAAACCTTACTAATTACTAGGCGGGTATTTACCCAACGTTTGAGCAATCCAATGTCACACGAAGGTTAGCCAAATAAATTTCTGTTACTTTAACTAAACTGACACGCAGAGGGTATAGATATATTTAGCTTTTTTGAAAAATCTGCATTCTGGCAAAGGTTATTGCGCACGTAGGATTCTTGGAAGCGTTTAGCAAGTTTTACGACCATTCGTCATAGACAGTAACCTTGTAAAATTAGTTCGTGATCGACAAATTGCCCATGAGCGCACCCAACACACCATAAACATGATGCGATAACTCATCACACAGTCTGCAACGACAACAACATGTCTGTCCGTCAAGGAAATGCATATACCTATATCTAATAGTATATACCTATATAGTATATACGGTAAATACTGCGCTGGCGTGAGTTCGATATAACCTAAAACGAATAATAAAGCCGCTATGTTGTGAACACATTCAATTGATTATTTATTATTTATTGATGATTGATGATTGCTTGATTTTATGATTTTTGATATTTTGTTGATTATTTTTAATCTCATTGCATTTTATACTATACATTCTGTATTATATTCTTTACAAAATAATATTTAATTGACAGAACAGCAGCATGTAACGGAGGCTCCCTGAACCTGTACCAACACAAGCATACGTCATACATTCAGCCCCCATGTCTGATCCGGTACAGGGTTCTCATTCTCACATTTCAAGTTTTCCCAATTTTGTCCGTCACTCTTCTTTGCTCGATACCTCCGGCTATACGATATCCACTGTAAAATGTGTTTTTAAACTCTTTTTTTTGCGTCGAGCGCTATTATCCGTTCGTCGTATGCGGATGGTCATAGGTTACGTCGCGCATAGGGCAGTTGTCTCTTCATCGTGGCCCCCGTCAGTCTAGGAAGTCGCTTCTTTCCGCGCAATTACTCGCATTTATTCCCCGAATTTTTATTCACAATGTAATGGCGTCGCTATGGGTACGAAGATGGGCCCTAGCTATGCGTGTCTATTTGTCGGCTACATTGAATCAAAAATGTTCGCGTCCTTCACTGGACCCAAACCGAGCTTTTATCTTCGGTATATTGATGATGTTTTTGGAGCCGCATGTATGAAACTTTCTGATTTGCAAAATTTTATCGACCATGTCACATCTTTTCACCCGTGTCTAAATTATACATACTCTACCTCCTCTGATAGTCTTCCTTTTCTGGACATGGTTGTTATTATATCTGGTTTAAACTTAATTACCTCGGTGTTTTCTAAACCCACTGACACCAATTCTTATTTAATGTAATCTTCTTCTCACCCTCGCCACACTAAAAATAGCCTCCCGCATTCTCAATTGTCACGCTTAAAAAAGATATGCAGCTCAAAAACAGATTTTAACACAAAAGCTTCCAATATGATTGAATGTTTTACACGCCGTGGCTATAATCAATCTGATCTATCTAAGAAATTAAAAAAGATACTTCCCTTAAATCGGGCGTCGTTAATAACCCCTAGAAAAGACGGCATGAATAAGACGTCAGACAGATGTCCATTGGTTTTAACCTATCACCCTTCAATCCTGCACATCAAAAGTTTGTTAATTGATCATTATAAAATTCTTCAAAACGATCCAATCACAGTTAACATCTTTTCAAACCCACCTTTATGCTCGTACAGACATGATACCAACCTCCGCGACACTCTTGTTTCAAGCACCGTTTACAACTCTGACAACCCCGTGAGCCAACCTGGCTCATACCCGTGTTGTCGAAAACGTTGCAGTACTTGCAATTTTATCACGAATAGGTCTGTGGTTCAAGTCGGGGCAAATTTATAGTGCGGGATTCATTTACATGCGTGTCGACGAACCTCATTTACGCCATTGAATGCGTTAAATGCCAAATTTACTATATTGGCGAAACAAAACGCCGCCTTGCGGATAGGTTTGTTGAACACCTAAGATCTATTCGCCTCAATTTCCATGGTTTTCCGGTTGCTGACCATTTTAACCAACCGGATCACCACATTAATGACGTGCGTATGTGTGGGTGCCAACTGACACCATATTACAATAGCTCACGTCGTGATTAATTACGTGTGATTTTTGAGTTCATTGCCTCGTTGTGTGTGTGTTTGTGTGTGTGTGTGTGTGTGTGTGCGTGTGTGTGTGTGTGTGTGTGTG